ATTATTGTGAATATTAACGGAGGTAACTTAGGTAAGGACCTAGAACAGGGCTAGTGCTCAACAAATGTGATACCCTCAAATAGCAATGCAGAGACATCGACTCAACCCCAAATAGCAGTGCAGAGAAATAGACTTCAACCTTACTGAAGAAAGGAGATGTTTTGAGTGTGTTTTGAAATCAACATCATCTAATAAAAGGAAAGCACATAATTCTTTTTTTTCAAGTGATTATATATTGTGATATGCATCATCCTTTCTTAAAGCAAGGAAAGTCTTGGCACTGCCAAATCTATTAATATAGCTTTATAATTATTACTCCAGGGCAAGATATGAGCTTTAACATTTTTTTTATTTTTATTTTTTAATTTTTTTTTTTGAGACGGAGTTTCACTGTCACCAGGCTGGAGTGCAGTGGCGCCATCTTGGCTCACTGCAACCTCTGCCTGCCTGGTTCAAGCCATTCTCCTGACTCAACCTCCCTAGTAGCTGGGATTACAGGCACATGCCACCAGGCCTGGCTAATTTTTGTATTTTCAGTGCAGACGGGGTTTCACCATGTTGGCCAGGATGATCTCAATCTCCTGACCTCGTGATCCACCTGCCTTAGCCTCCCAAAGTGGTGGGATTATAGGCATGAGCCATCGTGCCTGGCGTTAAAAATTTTTAATTAGAGCTCAGATTTTAGAAATTTCCAGGATTTTCCAAATTCAAATATTAGAATCAATTATGGAAATATCTACCAGTAAATGAAATCTTAATTTTAGTATTTCATTTCTGATGCTCTATTTCCATTCACATAAATGCTTTTCCTCTTTGTATGGCTCAGGAAAAACCAAGTTCTTTTGATCTTGTTTCCTTATTTTTGTGTTCTCTAGAGAAACTCAGATATTCTTTTGTTCATATTTGTTGGATCATGACCAACAGTGGTCTGACGTGCCCTGTCCATCTCTAGCATAATTTTCCATGTAATCCTTGTGGTCAACTCTGAATTTGCCTTTCCCAGATATCTTCTGTAATTTTATCAAACTGCCTCCCAATTCTTAATGACATACACAGGAACTTGACCCAAATCTGACATGCCTGAAACTCATGGTCTTTTTCCAACCTTCTCTGGATTGGGATCTCACGACTAAGCAAAACCAGGCCTCGACTGTCTTGGATGGAAAATCCGAGGGAAAGAGGATGTAAACTGAATGATAATCTTTCCTGCAGTCAGCACTGAACCAACCACCCCTTACAATCTGAGGTTTAACTGGAGCGCATCCATTGGAGTAACATGTAAAACTAAGCTGCTGTTAATTTTTCTACTAAAATGCTTCATTTACCTAACATTCCTGAGGAATGAAGAATTCTACTTATCTATTTCACAACCAACTAAAGTTTATTCCCTTAAGTGCTAAAATTTTCTATTTTAAATCAAAATCTTTACAAAATTACTACTTGCCTGCCTTTCTAAACAGCGCAATAAGTATAATTTCACCTTGCCTTCAGGATTAAAGTTCATAATTATTGTCATTTATAAGGAGAAATACTAATGACATTTTGTGCTGAAAAGGAAAGGTGGTGTTGTTGTTGTTGTTGTTGTTGTTGTTTTGAGACAGGGTATCGCTCTGTTGCCCAGCCTGGAGTGCAGTGGCGCGATCTCAGCTCACTGCAACCACTGCACCCCCAGGCTCAAGCGATTCTCATGCCTCAGCCTCTGGAGTAGCTGGGCAATTTTTGTATTTTTAGTAGAGACAGGGTTTCATCGTGTTGCCCAGGCTGGTCTTGAACTCCTGAGCTCAAGTGATCCACTCACTTCGGCCTCCCAAAGTGCGGGATTCCAGGCGTCAGCCACTGTGCCTGGCCTAAAAAGGGAAGTTTGCTCACACATGCAAAGACTCCAGATGAACCTATTTGTTTTTTAAATTGCTTGGCACTTCTTTTCTGAAGTCTGAAACTCTCTTCAGGTTATCAGCTGTAGTCAATATTCTGTCTTTCCCATTCTAATGGTCTATTGTGAAGTAGATTTTAAAAAAAACAAACCAATACCATTATAATTGTGCTTCAAGGAAAAGCAACGAGGCACTGAGTGGATGTCTGTGGGAATTTCCTAATAATAGGTATATAACCTTCAGTGCATGGCTTTTTATTTTTTTATTATTCGTGTGTGTGTATGAGACGGACTTTCACTCTTGTTGTCCAGGCTGGAGTGCAATGGCAAAATCTTGGATCACCTAAACCTTCTCCTCTGGGGTTCAAGCGATTGTCCTGCCTCAGCCTCCTGAATAGCTGGGATTACAGGCATGTGCCACCATGCCTGGCTAATTTTGTATTTTTAGTAGAGATGGGGTTTCTCCATGTTGGTCAGGCTGGTCTCAAACTCCTGATCTCAGGTGATCCGCCCGCCTGGGCCTCCCAAAGTGCTGGATTACAGATGTGAGCCACCACACCCAGCACATTTAAGGCTTTAAAAAAAAAAATGCTTTCTAATTTGATAGTTGTATGTCTGAGTTAACGGTGGAGTCATTGTTTGAGTCAAGTATTACCTCACCAGAGCATTTCCTTATTAAAACACACACACACACACACACACACACACACACACACACACACACACACACAGTATTTAGTTCTCATCACTTCCCAGGCAGTTTTATGACAAGTCCTTTTTTTCTGTTTTTATTAATGGGAACGGACAAGTGAAGTGACTTATTAAAAGCCAGAAACACTAGGGTTAGAACCAGACACAGAATTTTTATCTTTTAACTTATCTGATCAGTTCAGTAAACTCATTCTGATCTACAGGACTTACACTAACCTGAAATTTTAAATGAGTATTTTTTTGGTAAATGAAATGTTATAATGATAGTATATTCAGTGATATCTCTAAATGATGTTTCGTAAATAGAAGGACTGAGGGAAGCCTTACAGAAAGAGAAGGCAGAGATTTTTCAGTTGCCTTAATGGACTGGATGCCTCCAGATGCCTTTTTCTGCAAACTGGGATTTGGTGATCTAAACCTAGTTTAGAATTTATAAAACTGAAAGTTGCTGCCAATCATGTGGCCTCTTGAGAATATGTAACAAAATAAAAAGAGATAGATGGATGATGGATGTTTCTTATCAGGTGTCTATAATTCCACCTGATATGTAAAAGGCATTAAGTTGATTTACTTGATTTTTAAGAGAGTAAAATCCTGCATACAAATCAACAGCTCTTTTAGCCTAAATCTTTAGAACACAAAGTTTTCTGTTAGAAGTGAAGCAGTATCCACAATTAACAGATTTATCAGGCTGTATTTTTTGTTTTAATGCAAGCATGAGCCACCAAGGCCCTTGCAGCGGAATATGCTAAAAGCATTATCAGCCCAGAGGTTTCTCTCTTACCCTTGGCCATTCGGATGTGAGAGATTTTCGGCTGTAGGTGGGCAGGAGGACCTCAGGTTACAGGAGTGGGAGGACGGCTGAAAGCAAGGGAGCTACTGAATGCCCTGCTGTGACTCTCCCAGGCTGAGTGGAGTACTCTCTGGATCAGAGGGTCTCATTGTACCGAGCCCCACGCTAGACTTTCAGCATTGGACAGAGAGAATTGGTTAACTTCTTGTGTGTCCTGTGAACTATTAGTTTCACTCACTGCGATTATTTATGTCTTACACTAAATTTTGCTGAAGTCCCTTACAATTTTCCAAAGATAGATATGTGGACGTGGGCAAGCAGACAAAAACAAAAACAAAAAATTCTTGAATTTTGTTTTGCTTCTCTTGATCATTCAGTGAAAACTTCTGCAAGTTAAGGTAGCACAGATAGAAAAATGTGAAATACAGAGTTGAAAGGAAGACAGTGCTTTCATCTGTCAAGCTTTAGGGGTTTCCCAGCCTGGAATGTACCTGTTCCTGGCTTTCATAGTTTTTAAGGAATTGAGTTTTATTCTGAACCCAAATTCCACCCCAGCTCCCCAAACACTCTCGCATACACGCTGGCACACGCATATACATATCGGGTTATACAATGATGCCAAAACAGACAAGGAAGGGAAGTCGAGATTAATAGCGGTGAGCAGGGCGCTGATTTCAGCCAGTTCTGTTTACACAGCATTTTCCTCCCAGAACCGCAGATACTATCTCACTAATCCTCAATGGAGCTTTCTCAAAGCGCCTTTATCCAGCCTCTCTGCACGGAGAAAGTGAGGCACGGCGGGCAGAGGTGGTGAAGTCCTCGCAAAAGCTGGAAACACAACCCCGGGCTCCTGACGCACGGGCCATTGTCCTTTGCACTGCACCGCGCCACCTTCCTGTCAGGTGTCTGGTAAACAGGTTGACTGATCGCTGATTAGGGGCCTCCCGCCTACGTGCCCTGAGTGGCGGAAAGGAGCTTTTCCTTGTCAATATGAAAATCTCTGAGTACAAATCGATGAAGCTAGAGATTCAAAGACTGCCTTTACAAAGCTGGAGAAGGTGCACTCTGGCCACAGGCGGAGGGGGCGGCCCGGGGCCCCCCTGGGAGGCTGCCAACGGGGCGGCGCCGCCGCTGGGGACCGCTTGGTGGAGAGTCCCGGACCGGCGAGAGAGAAAACCAAGCCTCATTTGTTAATTTTTTTTTTTTTTTTAACTCTCAAATACCACCAGCACATTCCTTGAAAAAAAAAATTGAAAGGAAAGAAACAAAGAAAAAGAAAATAAGACAGGAAAAGGTCCTGAGAAATGACGGACGCTTGAACCTCTGGCCCGGGAAGACCAGCGCCCTTTGGCTGCTCGGCCTCGGGGGCGTGCGGAGGGCGGGCCCCGCGCGGCCGCCGCTTTCCCAGGCCGCCCGGGGTGAGGAGGTGACGCCGCGGGCTTGGTGGCGGCTGGTTTTTCACACAGGAATCCCGCTCGCCGCAGCTCCCTCGAAGGCCACCCCCTCGCTCCACCCCGGCGCTGGGCGCCCGCGCCTCCCGGCTCAGCCCGCCCCGAGCAGACGGCGCGCCGCGGTAATTGGGCACAGGGGCCTTTTTCAGAGTCGCTCAGTCGGTAAATGAAACGTCAGCTCCCCTGTGATCCCGCGTGTGTGGGGCGGCGGCGGCCGCAAGCCGGGGCGCGGGGCCGGCCGGCAGCCGCTGCTCTTTCACAGCCCCAGGCCCTTCGCGGCCTGCCTGCGGCTGGCGACCTCCCGTCCCCTCCCGGGGCGCCCCGAGGACCCCTGCCCCACACCAGAGGCTCCTGCGGTCTCCTGATTCGGTTCAATGTCCCTGAAACCCAGAGGTGAAGCTGAAACCGTGGAGCAGAACCCAAAACAGTCGTCCAGATCAGACCTCCAAAACAACTTAAAAATTTCTCTTGTTAATCATTAGATTCTCCCTTTTATTTAATGTGCAGATCCAAGGGGAGTCCCTCTGCTTCCCCATTCAATCAGCTAGCAACCCCTTCCTCTAAAGTTCTCTCATCTGAAGCCATCTGAGCAGGAGCATTAGGATCAACCCAATTCTGCTCTGGTCTGGACTATTCCCAGCTTACGGATGAGTAAATTGCCAAACACTTCCCAGTTTATCTCTGAAGAATCCCTGAAAACTGATGGCCTTTATTCTCCTTCAGAGAGGGAGCCTGAGCTCTTGAGAAAGACCTGAAGGCCCTTGCCGCTCTCGGCATCATTCACTCCTCCCTAATCGGGTCAGTTAATTGCTGAGTGCTCGCTTCCTGACCTGCGTGATGGCCTAGGAGCCCGCAGCGTGTAGACGTGGGTGACTCTCAGCTCAGCTCCCAAGTGTGGGCCTCGGAAGACCGTCTGTGCTACCTGATAACAAGCACCAGGTAACAGCACTTGGCACTTTCCATGGGATTTTATTATTATCTTGTTTACTTTTCACAACGGTGTCTTTTAAGGGTGATTAAACAAGCTTAGGGAGATTCAGAAATCTGCCCAAACCTCACAGTTCATACGTGGCAGATGTGTCTGACTCCATGCTTGAAAGAGCTCCTCAGTTTCGGGCTAGGCAGAGTTGGATCAATATGGTGTGGTAAGAAGTAGCAGAAAGGCAGAAGGGCAAAGGGGCCTGAGAAGGCATTCTACCTTTTGTTAGATACTAGTTTAGAAACAGTTTGCAGAAGCGACATTCTCATTCTCACTGGAGGGACCCAGTATTAGCTTTTGCCTTTGAGGGATTTCCGCACAGGCTTGATATTTTAACCAGCGTCAGAAAAAGTCAAATGCTCACAATGGCGATACCCCCACTGTCATTCTTCACTCCTTGTACTTAATGTGAAACTCCTGATAGGTGAAATGCTAAAAATTCAACATGGCTCCAGAATTCAAAGATGTGATAGCTTCAACAGCAACAATCAGATATTGGTTAATGCATTGATATGAATGGAAATGGACTATGGGAGAACCAAAGTGATGCCCTCCTTGCTGCCCTAAGAATAATTTTACAATTTAGAATGCTTGGCTTGATATTTGTTCTTTTGCATATACTATAAAGTGAAACTTGCTGGCATCTTCAGGGTCTAATGCCATGAGACCATCTTCAAGATGGAATTGTATCACAATGCCTTGTGACACTTCAAAAACTAGACTTCTTTCAGGAAAATCAAAGAGAATTTTATAGAGAATTATATTTGAGAAAGATTCCCTTGTAACTGGAAGCAACTTATACATTTTATTTTACAGGGTTAGAATTATTTATTTAATAGAGCAACTTTGGTCCAAGCTAACATCAGTGGAATGCCATTTTGGTATGGTTTTTCATTTATTTCAAAAGCAAGTCCAGGGAAGCCAGATCAATCAGGAACCCGATTATGTTTCTGCATATATGAAAAAGGAATAATCCTATTGAGAAGGCTTATCTTGGCCAAGCATATGGCTAACAGAAGCAATGTAGCTTTCTAGTGACATCTGTGTAGGGTTGGTTGATTGTGGTAAAGAGCTAGGAATGGGGACTGCCAAGTTCTAATAAAATTCCTCTCACACTTCAATCTCGCAAAAGAAAAATGATGCACTTTACTCACAGTGGCCAAGCACAACAAGAATTGACAGCCATAGTACTGGCCTAAAGAATTGCCACCTATCAGGAAATCCTTCAGTCATTTACATCTTAGTATGAATTTGTTTTCCTCTTAAGTGAGAGATGGAATCAATACATTTTTCCACAGTTTATTCTTTTGCAACTCACTAAATGTTTTATAGTAAATATATTTCTTTTCATGATCCACACCCTTTCTGAAAGCCTATTATTAGATCACTGGAACGTTTGATGGGATGGAGCAAGAGGTGAAAGTAGGGATAATTCCAATTGATTGTGCCTGGCCTCCTGGATGATGGGCCTGGGGCTGGGATGGGGAATTGATGGCAAGAGGATTAGAGCTTCAAAACTTCAGTATTGAAGGCACTTGGTGCTCAGTGGGAAGAGGAAATAGGATTTCAGCAGATAGAGAAGCGGCACAGAAAGGAAATCAGGAATCAGACTTAATTTGTTTTATGGTTTAAATAGATTAGGTCCTAGGCATGGGCAGCCACCTCCTACCCTGACCTGCAGACATGGCCCATTCTTGGTAAGAAAGCTCATGTGGACCATCACCACACTATTAAGTCAAAAATTAAGGTGACTAAACTACTGTTATTATATGTGACTGAGACAACTATTGCTCAGGAATAATTAAGACACTGCATCCTAGATTATAACAATTCAACTTTCCTGGGTTACCCATACCCCTGGGTTCCTGGGCTATCTATATACATTTATCTTTTGTTTCAGTAGAAACAGGCCATAGTAATTCAATAGGGCATAGTAACCATATCTGTTGGAAAATTTAGGCTTTATTTATTGACCAAACGCTACCAAGTAATTACTTAATTTTTTTTTTTTTTTTTTTTTTTTTTTTTATATTTTTTTTTTTTTTTTTTTTTTTTTTTTGAGACAGAGTCTTACTCTGTCCCCAGGCTGGAGTGCAGTGGCGTGATCTCGGCTCACTGCAACCTCCGCCTCCCTGGTTCAAGTGATTCTCCTGCCTCAGCCTCCCAAGTAGCTGGGACTACAGGCGCACGCCACCACGCCCAGCTAATTTTTGTATTTTTAGTAGAGAGGGGGTTTCACCATGTTGACTGTGGTGGTCTCAATCTCTTGACCTTGTGATCCGCCTGCCTCAGCCTCCCAGAGTGCTGGGATTACAGGTGTGGGCCACCACACCCAGCCCCTTAATTTTTTTATTTTGGTAAAATAGACATAACATTATAACATTTACGATTTTAATGATTTTAAGTGTACGGTTCAGTGGCATGAAGCATATTACACTGTTGTACAGCCATTACCACCATCTATCACGAGACTGTTTCATCCTACCATACAGAAACTCTACCCATTAAATAGTAACTCCCTATCCCTATCCTTAGCCTTTGGGAATCACTGTTCCACTTTCTTTCTGTATGTGGTTGACTATTCTGTATACCTTATATAAGTGGAATCATACAACAGGTATCCTTCTGTGTCTGGCTTATTTCACTTGACATAATGTTTTCAAGGTTCACCCATGTTATAACATGTCAAAATTTCTTTCCTTTTAAATGTTGCATCATATTCCATTGTATGTATATACACATTTTGTTTATCTATTTATCCATCGATGGAAGTAATTACTCTTTGAAAAGCACACCAGTACTTACACATAAAAATGATACTGTCCTTCAGAATAGAGCACTTCAGAAGTTATACTTACTCAGTGATGATTTGTGTCATGGGCTCTTTAGGGAAATTGTGTTCCCCTAAAATTCATATGTTGAATTCCTAACCCCCAGTAACTTAGAATGTGACTGTATTTGGATATGGTGGCCTTTAAAGAAGTGATTAAATTAAAATGAGGCCTTTAGGTGGGTCATAATACAATGTGACTAGAGTCCTTATAAGAAGAGGAAATTTGGGGGCCGGGCATGGTGGCTCATGCCTGTAATCCTAGCACTTTGGGAGGCCAAGGTGGGCGGACTGCCTGAGCTCAGGAGCTTGAAGCCAACCTGGGCAACACAGTGATATCCTGTCTCTACTAAAAAACAAAAAACAAAAATTAGCCAGGTGTGCCAGCTTGTGCCTGTAATTCCAGCTACTTGGGAAGCTGAGGCAGGAGAATCGCTTGAACCCAGGAGGCAGAGGTTTCAGTGAGTTGAGATGGCGCCACTGTACTATAGCCTGGGCGACAGAGCAAGACTCCATCTCCAAAAAAAAAAATATATATATATATATTTTTTTTTAAAAGGAAGAGGAGGAAATTTGGACACACAGAGAGACACCAGGGGTGCGCACAGAGAAAAAACCATGTGAAGACACAGTGGGAAGGTGGCCATCTGCAAGCCAAGGAGAGAGGCTTCCAGAGACACTAAACTTGCTGATACCTTGATCTTGGACTTTATGCCCCCAATACTGTGAGATAATAAATTTCTGTTGTTTAAGCCAACCAGTTTGCGGCACTTTGTTATGGCAGCCCTAGCAAAGCAATACAACTTAGTACAAAAAGCATTTTGGGTGCATTTGTTGAAATTGCCTCAGAAACAGTATAAGCCCATGCACCAACATCAGCCTCATTACTTTACAGTCACAAACCCCTTTCAGCTTGATCACTAGCTTTTTTCATCATATTGGGCTTTAAATGGCTTTTGACTCTTTAACAAAAAATTAATTCCTCTCTCAAAAGATGAAGTGCCTTCTCCTGAGATATGCAAAAGAATACCGTGCCAACTTTAAAGGCAATTCCAAAAGGAAATTGCTTTGAACAGCAGAGTAGAAAAAAGTGTTTTGTCTACCATGGTGACTTGCGCTGAAGAAGACAACACTCCTTAAGAGAAATATGCCACCTTATATTTGCTAAAGAATCTGTTGCTGTACTTTATATCACTGCTTCCTTTATCAAAATGCAGTGTATGTACATTTTGGAACTTGCTTCACACAATTTTTTTTTCCTCCAAGAGCTCAAGCTCTTCAAAGAGCTCTATGTCCTGACTCTTAAACCAAAGCTGCACAGCCTTCTGTTTCTTAATCCACAGCTGGATTGCTTTGATACTTTGGTCAAAAGGATCAGCTCTCAATGGGGCTCAGTTCACAGGCAAGCTCCAGTACAGCCCTCTCACCCCTACCCTCAGCCCGAACAAGGAAAGGTGGGGGTCGTGAGGAAAGGACTGTGTGATGTGGAAAAGAGAGCAAGTCCCAGGAAAGTAGGCTTCGGTGTCTTGAGGGAAAAGAACTGAGTTGGAATCAGGGACTGTATTCGTCAGTTTTCTGCATTGCTATCAAAGAATACCTAAGGCCAGGTGCGGTGGCTCATACCTGTAATCCCAGCACTTTGGGATGCTGAGGTGGGTGGATCGCGAGGTCAAAAGATTGAGACCACCCTGGCCAACATGGTGAAACCCTCTCTCTCCTAAAAAATACAAAAATTAGCTGGGCACGGCGGCACACACCTGTAGTCCCAGCTACTCAGGAAGCTGAGACTCTGTCTCAAAAAAAAAAAAAAAAAAAAAAAAAAAAAAGAATACCTAAGGCTGGGTAATTGAAAAAGAAAAGAGATTTATTTTCACTCATGATTCTGCAGGCTGTACACGAAGCATGGCATCAGCATCTGCTTCTAGTGAGGCCTCAGGAAGCTTTTACTCATGGCAGAAGGTGAAGGTGGAACAGGTGTGTCATGTGGCGAAGAGAAAGCCAGAGAACTGCCAGGCTCTTCTAAACAACCAGCTCTTGTGTGAACTAATAGAGCAAGAAGTCACTCATTACCATGGGGAAGTCACCAAGCTTCCCCATGAAGCCTGGTGACTTCCCCATGGTAATGTGTGACCCAAACACTTCCTACCAAACCTTACCTCTAACATTGGGGATCACATTTTAAGATGAGTTTTGGAGGGAACAAATATCCAAACTATAACAAGGACCTTGAGTTCTTATTAGATGCACTTAGCTTGCCAGATACTTGGCATTTGACAGGAATTTTCCAAAAAAACTTTCCATTGCATTATCTTGAAAGTTATTTTAGAAGAAAAGAAGAGGTTGGACTAGGGTTCATTATCACAGTCATGATTACATCAATCTCTGACTTTAAGGAGGGTCTTTGCCTGCAAATATCCCACGGCAAAAATGTCAAAAATCACACTGGCTAAAAATCTCATTGAAAAACCAAAGTCACATTTCTCAGTGGGTAGAGCTCCTTAAGGATAGGGTCTGTGCTGTCATCTTCATACATGCAGTGCAGAACAAGGCACAGAGTAGGTATTCAAAATGTTGAATGAACGACCTATAGCCTTTCACTAGGTTTTCAGCTCCTGTGATTCCAATGTCTACTACCCTCTGTTGTGTTTCAGATTTCTGTCCAGTTCCCACTTGATTTTCCCTCATTTATACTTCTCATGTTGAAGCCCAGATTTATTGTAAAATAGTGCCCATGACCAGAATAGATTTTTATTTTCACCACATCTCTGAATTTGAACTTGTCAGGGCGTCTGGAGGCTACAAAAAGTAACTGGATGCTATGTAAGCCTGGGTTTCAGTCTGTGGGAAATGAACTTGAACTTGGACTTGGACTGAATCTTTCCACCTTCCCCTTGTCAACCATCTCAGGCAGGTCAAGAATGGCATCATAGCCAAAGGAAACAGCCATTATACCTCCCTTAATTTTTGATGTCACCTGACTTTAAGGTGGCATCACCTTAAGACTTCAGATTTCAAATGGTTAATATAATTAGGCTAATGCAAGGTAAATATTTGAATTAAGAAAAAGAAAATCTAGTGTATAATGACAATTCCTTTCATCAATAAGAGACCCCCAAAAACCCCAAAATACCTGTTAAAAGAGCTGCCTAGGTCTCTCACTCTCCTGGAGCTCCATGGCTGGTGTGAAATTGAAATGACTCTTTCCACTGTTCCTCCTAAAACATTCCTTATATGAGACTAGTTTTAATTCCTTCTCCTTAAGAAACTGTTCCTCCAGTGAGCCCTCACTATTCTAGCAGACCAGCTGGCAGGCTGGCAGGTAGGGACACTCTATTTGGGGACACCAAAGCCCTCGACAACTTCTCAACTGTGCCTGAACTTGGCAATAATGGAGAATGAGCTTTTTTTTTTTTTTTTTTTTTTTTTTGAGAATGGAGGAGTAGTATATGCACAATTTACCTTTTTTCTCAGAAGCTATTTTATTCCTTATTAATAGCAGGAGAAAGGGTCCTGGCATGTAAACGCCT